TTTTCCCCACCACTGACATTCTTGTCATCTTGGCATCCCTGTTTGAGCCCCACAACCCGGATAATTTGATGGCGAGTTTTTCTTTTGAAAGGGAAGCCTTTATTGGATGACCATGGAGGGGTTACAGGGCCTTTGTAGGGCGAAATTCTCTTCGAATATTAGATGCTACGAACAGATCCGCTAAAAAATTCGATGGGATACAAGATAGTTTTTGTTTTATATATTAGAATTCCGCTGACGAAGGCATAGGTAAGTGAGGAACTGGCAACTCACTTTCTCCAGAAGAAGTGTCTTTAATCCAAGCTTCTGGCAGTGATATGCGGTACATGAGCCAAAAATGCCTGCTCCTACAACGACGACATCAAACTTTTCATTTACATTGGCCATTTTTAGGACCCTACAATAAAAGAGCATAAAACGACGAATTACTACACTTCCATTACATCTCAGGAAAAAGACTAGTCGTGGAGAGTGTTGCCTGCTGAAACTAACAAGTAGGCTCCTCAGGCTTTAGCACTCCTATTAACTGCTACATACTATCTGAACAGGTCCAGAGAATATACTGGTCGGTTTCCAGATAAGGAGCGCTTGATAACACAAAAACTGCGGCGATGTAATGAGAAGAATGGGAGAGGTGGACTTTGCTAATTTTTGCAAATACGTCACCTCGCCATTATCGGTCATTCAGAACGACGACGATGCTTTCCCTCTTCTGCTAGCTGATTTACAGTGAGGAGAGAAAAAGAACAAAATGATCTGAATAGGACCCTCCTTGGCAGGTGATCCTAGTCGGTTAATGAGCAAGAGATGCATAAAGGGCACAGCTCAGGTCACCATATAAGTTAGATCTTCGTAGGGCGAAGTAGGGTAGATCACAACAAAAAACCTGTATACGTTTCATGTCAGAAAAGTGTAAGGTAGCTGCGATAAGGCTGCGTTCATACCTTGAGGCAGCGTCCACTAGCGTTGCGAGCGTGCGGCAGCGTCAGCGACTAGGAAAGTATAGATATCGATCTAGCGTCTGCCAGCGTCTGCCGCGTCTGCCAGCGTCCGCAAGCGTCATCAGCCACCAGGTGTAGAGAGTATGGGGAATGTAGGAGGGTAGCAAACAGCTTGGTTAGGCGTCGTGAAATGCGGCATGCGCAACCGCACCGCACAACTGCTAAAGCGCAGAATTATGCAATTCAATGTACGGTGGTGCAGTTGTACGGTGCGGTTGCACACACCGCCATTTCACGACCCCTGATCAGCTGTTTGCTACCCTCCTACTTCCCATAATCTCTACTTCCGGTCGCTGGTGATCGCTGGTGCACGCTGCCAGACGCTAGATCGACACCTTTTCTTCCCTAGCTCTCGAGACGCTAGCAG